CGCTGCAGCAGCTCGCCGTGGTCTGCTGCGAATGGTTCGATTCGTGTCACCTCACGCAGGAGGGCAACCTCCAGGTCTTCCCTTCATGCAACGTACTTGGCTGGTGGTCGAGGTTGTGGGTCAACCATTGGAGTGACTTCGAAGTAAATGTATGAACAGTTCATCTATCACGTCCAGCAAGCACAATCCACCACCCATTGCATTTTGATGTATTTTGATTGGCTTAGACATTTCGGTAATTTGACGCTCAAATATACGGAATGGTCATGCGATTTCGTATATTTGAGCCAAATTCCGAGCGGAATTTGGCCTTCACGAAGTTCGTAGCTGTGAGTAACCCGAAGTTTGATTTCGGTAATTTCAAATTACGGGTTTGCTAAATGTCTCTAGTGTAAGTTGCATTACCAATGGTTCGCTTTCGCCAACCACTGAAATGCACTGCACCCCTAGCTAGAAATCGCTGCCTCGACAATACAGTGCGCGCCAACCAATTTGGGACACCTCCAATTTTCAACGTTTGCCGAAGTGTAGTTGAAATGTGAGGGTTTGGTTTACACGTCATTTGACTATAGTATAATAAGAACACGTGAAATGATTACGTAAGCAACAGTGAACTTTTGCTCTTAGTGAATTACTACGTACTAGTACGTAGTACTGCGGTTAATGTGCTACTACAGTACTAGTACTACTGTATATCGCTGACGTTGATACTACGGATATTTTATTACTTGAAGTACTACGTACTACTTCAAGTAGTACGTAGTAGTAACAGAAAGTATCCTATTACAACGTACTACCGGTACTCACTGTCAACTGTAAGAGGAGTTTACTGAAATTCCAATGAGAATCTGCCGTACAGTATTTACTGCATACTAGTATCTGCATCCCAAAACATCTGGACACATGTTATCAAATACTACCATGTACTAGTACTATGGAGTACTACTTCGAAGTATTATTCTCATGGCATGTCCCTGAACCATGGTCATGCGCACCCTTTTGCTGTGCTGTCTCAAAGGTGTAAATTTAGATCCATACTGTACTGGTAGTAGTATATATATACACCGTTTTTTACTTTTACGTCTAATACTGTAATTAAATAATGTGGATAGTCTTTTTTATAGCAGAGGTTGCTATCATACCTGTACTGGTAGATCCTCGTGGGACTACAGTCTTATATGTAAAAATTGTTTTCCTTTTACCGATAACCATCGTCCAGCCAAGTGTGCACGAACGACATTAATAGGGAGTTTTCTAGCAACCACTTATTACGCTTCGCTGAAGGACCCACTTCTTAGACATTTTCCTGGATGTAAACCAATCAAATCTTTATTTGTCGAAAACCAAGCTGCTGATTCCACTGATTTGGCCGTCCCCAATTTCTGATCATAGTGCGATTCCATCATCCTTGTTTTACGAATAATTCCCTCATTACCTGTTTCAATGAGGGAATTATTACATCCGGATACACCATTTCGCCAGTAACGCTGTAACCTGGGACTCCGTCATACCCCCGGTGTGTACATACGATGCTAAATCTCCGGGGTTAACTGCATCGCTAGTGGTTAGCTATCGCTAACGACTGAGATGCACTTAACCCTAGTACGAGGTGAGGTGGTCTGAGCATACAAAGTTCCATATAAATCTCATTGAAACAGTATTTCGGGTCAAAACAACAGTAGAACTGTTTTAATGAGGGAATTGTACCTTGTTTTACACAAGTTTAAACACTTTAAACGTCAATGCTGATATCTCATCGGGTGTACTAAGTACTTACTACTAGTACTATAATATTACCTAGTAGTATTGTACTATAACGTTACACATACTTGTCTCCATGAATGTAAAAGAAACCCACGCTGCACCCCCCCACCCCCAAACCTTGCACTCATTGTTGAATTTGCTTCATGAAGACCATTGCCATTCTTGCGCTTGCCTCGTCGGTTGCAGCATATGCCGCGGGGGATGCCTTGGTACACGGCCCCGACAGAAAACTCAGCACCGACGCCCAAGTCCAATCGACCCAAGACGACGCGGACGTCAACCGCAAGTGCCACAAGGCCAACGACGGGTACATCGAGACGTTGAAAGCTGGCGAGTATGCGGCCAGCAAATTCTACAATTGTTTCCGCACGTCGGAGCAAATCTTCGAGTACGTGGATGCATTGGTGGAGCAGAACCCAACTTTGTTGAAAAAAGAAAATATTTCGACCACCGTCCAAAACAAGACTATCTACGCGTACAAACTGACCGGCAGCTTTGTCAAGACCCGGTCGTTGTATTTCCAAAGTCTGCTCCACGCCCGGGAATGGGTCGCGGGGTCGTCCAACGTGTTTACGTTGTCTTCGATTCTGGACGACATTGCCAACAAGAAACCCACGGCGGCGGACAAGTACAATTTGTACTTTGTGCCGATCGTGAACATCGACGGGTACGACATCTCGTGGAAGAACGGCAAGCGGTTGCAGCGTAAGAATGCCAACGAAGTCGACCTGAACCGCAACTGGCCGACTCCCTTCAAAAACTCCAAACCCGTACCCCCCTCGTCCCAAACTTACCCTGGAACGAGTCCGTTCAGCGAGCCAGAAGCTAAGGGGATTGGGGCGTGGCTCCATAACAAGAATTCTGAACTCGCCGGATGGGTGGACGTGCATTCCGCCGGGGGGTTCATCTTGTACCCTTATGGCGACATCGTAGAACCCATCGGCAACGGCGACGACGCCAAGTTTGAACGGCTTGGCCGCAAAGTTGCCGCCGCAACCGGTGGCAAATACACACCCCAAACGTCAGCTGCTTTGTACCCTGCTTTCGGAGCGTTCGATGACTACACCTACCGCACGTACCAGAAGCCGGTGTTGACCGTCGAAGTGGCTGGTTCGGGTTTTGTCGTCGATGCGTCGACCATCCGTACCCGCGGCACGGAAATCTTCAAGGCGTTGTCTCAATTTGCCGTTGAAGTCGAGAATTTCGACGTAAACAATACAAGCTGTTAAAGCGGATCCGTACGCCAACTTCTCACCACACCTACCCCCGTAGCAACCCTAAATCTCTCCTCGTTGAATGTAACTTTTTCAAAACCCTCATCTCCAACTTCTCCCAGCCATCCGATATGTCCACCACCGTCCATACTCTTTCTCGTGCACCCACAACCCACGCCATTCATTGCCAACGATCCTAAACAGCTACATATATCTCCTCGTTCACCCCTCGGCGTTCGACAAAGTCGTGCAACGGTGGAGATTACACAAGAAATCTGTAGCATAGTGGGGCAAAATGGCGTCGAGGTTGCTAAGTATTTTCTTTTCCAGGACCGTATGGGCCCTGCTCACTGAGTTCTGGCATTGGCAATCTGAAATCGCTTATTCGTGATTGGTTAAAAGTCATTTTCAATATAAATGGCGAAGTTCCTCCCATGGCAATACACTGTAGGTCATCAACCCAGTTCGTTACATATTTCGGAAGAGCATAAATGTTTCAGTGAAAGCCTCGTTTATACTACGTAGTATCCAATATGCTTTAGGTACTGATGACTTGCTCTGGTATTTCTGAAGAAATAGAGTGTTTTCCTCATGAGCCTGCAATTCCGTAATATGCAAGTCACATTTCCAAAATGACTCGATAATACTACAATACCAAGGACTTACGAAACATCCGGTTAATTAACCGGTAAATAAGGGGGGCTCCTCGGCCTGGTTCGCTTCTCTCCCGGCCTCCGGTGCTCCCAAGGATTATATAGATCATTGCTGTGATACTGAGTCGCTGCGCGGGCGAACGGGCCTGGTTCCCGGCCCTGGCCTAAGCTAGCTCCTAATCGTTCCGGATAAGTTGTTTCGTGTTTGTTTCGTAACCATCATTCTCTTTCAAAATAAAGTATGAACTTCACTATCGGAGTGTTGATCTTGTTTCGTAAATGGGTAAATATGTATCAGTAGTAACGTTAAGCGATAACCGAGTACCGGTAGATCGGAATCAAGGACAAAGTTTCCATAATAAAATAGTTCAGATGTATTTATACTTGTTGTTTGTATGCATTTTATTATTACTACTCTATTGCATACAAATTTCAAATCATTGATTAAAAACCACATGTATTTATCAGCGGCGACTCTTACTCGCAAGGACGTGCCACGTGAAGTACGGTTGGCGCGGGCAGCTTCCGTCGCAAACCGCTCTGCACGGCGCTGTAGGTATCTGCGTTGGTTCGCGGCTCTCTTTGAGGTGTTCGCAGCTACCACACACTTGTGCGTGCCATGACGGCACGATAGTAGTCATTGTCCTCGAGGCGCAACGGCATCAAACTTCCAGGACGGCTTCGCCGTATTCATTCAGACTTTGCTGGAGGTCGAGGATATCCGAGGCAGTCTGGTCCTGGAGGCGCTCCATCATAGACGACACGTTGAGACGCATGGTACACAGGAGATGAAAGAGATGAATTATGAGTTACGAGTAAAGGAATCGTTAGAAGGCACTACATATATTGAGGATGTTGAGCTGTCGTTGTGATTGACGCGAACAATTTACAGCCAACGAGAATTTGAGTCCAAGGGCGATGGAAATATACCACTATACGTATATTATTAATACATGTAGGTGGCATCCAACATCAAACCGACAAATTTGAAGTCGGTGATTGGATAACCGACAAATTATTGAATTTTGATTGGTCAGTTATTTTTTCGACAATCCGATTGGGCGATGTGGTTGTCGTGTGAGCAACATATCGCTCACATTGAACATATACGGCTTGCCAACCTGTCGTCCCCGACACGCACGTCGACCACGCCAGCTCTTTTGTCCAACGTACCGCGTATCTTCATTATGGCGTCTTTACCTGTACCCTTTCTAGATTCCTCGTTGGAAATGCAAGCGATTGCAACATCGCTGGAGGTGACAGGGTTTCTGTCCCCATGCCTCCATGGGACACAGCAAGAACTGTGGTCAGGCCGCAAACGCAACTTTAGGGTGCGAATCCATGTTGCAGCCTCTGCTCCACAATCTCAATTTTTAGCCAATCACGTACTACTAGTAATGACTTTCACAAATTCAAATCTTATTGGCTATAATATTATATGCTTCCATAAACTTCGGTGTCCCTTCTAGAGCCTGTTCCAAGTAGAATTCGAAAATCGCGAATACCGGTAATGGGGTGAAAAAATACTTCTTCCCATTTTGTTGCCATTTTGCGGCCATGATTAGACATAAGTCGTGTCCCGAAAATGCATAGTGATTGGACAACATAGTATTAAACCAAGGGCTTTCACTGGCTCCCGTGGCCATGGTCCAAGCCGAGGTCCGTCGTTGCGCTTAACACCCAACGGGGTCGACCGTCAGATCTCTAGTCACTACTTCTTCAGCATCGCCAGTCGCTTACATGTACTGTATGAGCTGGTACTGCGCTCCCGCACTGTGGTTATCTGTGTTCATGTCGGCCTTCAATGTTCAACCTCAGAGAGCGTAGGATGAATAATTGTCTGGTGAGGCGTGAGTTGTCGAAAATGGGATGAATTGGGGTCGTCATGCACCTCATTTTGAAAAGTGGATTTTGGAATGAGTTGGGGAGCATTTTGATTGTATAATGCCCATTTTGAAAGTAAATATTTTGAGATGCATAAGCTATTTTATCGAACAATTTTGACAGCTAATTCAAACATGGTACTTGGCATCTTGGCGTCGCCGATCAACGCACGCCATCTAATCACTCTATCTCGGCCAATGCAGGACTAACTCCAGTCCTTGTTCGACCGGTCCCACTGCTGAGAGATGCCCTCAGAGGTAGGACCAGCCCTGTTTTCGCAGATATGGGCTTGCCTCCCCATACGCGCTACACGGGTGGGTTAGTCTTAGATGTATGTGTAGTTGCTTGCCCACATTCATTGTAATCGATATAAACTCATATGCGGCCACGGGTATCGAGATGTGAAGGAGTTGGGGGACTTAGTAGGAGAGACGTTTCTACGTGTACTGGATTTGTCCAGAGGTAGCACAAGTCGACGAACGAGTTAACTTGCACAACTACTGGCTGACATAGAACAGGTCATGTCTATAGTGATGACCAACATAGTTCGTGTAGCACGCCCATGGCGAGGCAACCATGTCGGCGTGAACAGGGCTGGTCCCACCTCTGAGGGCATCTCTCAGCGGTGGGAGACCAGTCGAAGAATGACTGGAATTGGTCCTGTATTGATCATGATAGAGTACGTCATGCCTGTGATACTACAGTACCGCTATTAGAGTATGTCATGCCTGTGATACTACAGTACCGCTATTTCGAATACATGCATTGTCATAATAATCATGCTCGGGGTCAGCAACAGATTTTCATGGCAATCGGTCGATAAAAGCACCTCGCGCAACTATTCCTCCCAAGCACATGTTAACCCCCCCAAAAAATTGTTCAAAATACGGGACACGAGTAAATACCCCAAAACCCACGTGTGAAAACCCTACACCCAGCAGGTATACAGTTAGGGCGAGCGGGAGGTGGAGCAGCAGTGGGCGTTGACGGTGACGCGCTGTTAGTGCAGCGTCAACATTGAAGCCTCTGCTATGAGTATTATAGCCAATCGTATGCAAGAATGAAGGTATTATGGACTCTTATTGGATATAAAAGCAAGGCGGCTGACTGTGAACAACACGCCCTCCTAATAAGTCAAATACTGCAACATATTCTTAATATTTCCTGTTCGTAGTACTATTAATAGTACTACGAAATATTAACAGTACTCCGGAGTATGGTGCATGTCACCTAGAAACTTCCAACATTTCACAAAACCGTTTGGCTGCCATTTCATATTCATTTTTCAAATTGAAGTAAAACGAGACCACCATTGCCGCCGTAATCGGCGCCCCAGTTCGACGCTCCGAAGGTGCTCATCCTTCGCTTTCGTAGCTTTTGTCACAATAACTACTGACGACAACAGTCGTTCCGAAATATCCAACGATTGTTCCGAATTCTCAATCCCTGTCCCACGTTCGGTCAAGTATACCGAAATCAAGTTTGAGTGTGGGAGGATGTAACGGGGTCCGGATAAGATCCGGACACTACATCCCATTGGTCAGTTCCAATCCTGACCCGAAAGGACACTTGGCAATCCAAGTGTCTTGAATCACTGGCTCTGCGACAGCCGCAGCAGCACCATTCATTTGACATGAATGGCATGACTGGCGCGCAGCCGCGCGCCAAGGAAACCAGCTCAGAGATAGCTAGTTCTCTCAGTTAACAATATACCTTGTTCTACACACCTTCCTCTGTGCGCCCCATTACAACTGTGGTGTTAGGTGTGGCTATGGTAGTAGTGGTTGGTCTTGCTCTGGTGGTCGTAGGATGAGGAGTACTAGTAATTGCTGTGGTGGTGGGTGTGGCTGTGGTAGTAGTGGTTGGTTAGTCCTACTGGAGGTGTGGAGCATTCGCCAGGGAGATCATCCCTCTGACGGATGCTTCACAACACCAGTAGGACCAGGCTCTAGGCTCTAAGGTACTGTACTGTCGTTGCTAGCTGGCTGTACAAGATCAAGTCGCGGGACTTGACCAAGAATCAAGGCAATATCTTGTGTGAGTGGAAGTTCGCGGTGCAGGAGCTCCAAAACGTTTATAAGAGCTCGATTGGCACTGGTTTGGGTCGTCCCTACACCTCGGCCACGGCTATAGCTGCATTGCTTTTGGCACTATAATTGCCAATTTGCCATCATCCAGGGGTTTCACTGAACTTAGACGTCAGCTTCGTATGTCCCAAATGAAGATGGTCACATTTGCACGCCTGGCTAGAAAACGTAGACGGGAGACACAAGCTGGGTTTTTATGACATTCCCGCATAACGTTAAACTCCCTACTTAATGGATTGCACGGCACCCGCATATATTGGGCGCTCCCCTTACAGTATTTCTCAAAATTGTGGATGCAGGAGTACAATGAAGTCGGAATTGACAGACTGTGACCGACCCCAAATGATGCAGCAACAAGTAAAGGCAAGATAATTAGGTCGAATTTAATCCA